AAAAGAGGAACTGTAATCGGAAGCTGAAAATTGAAAAGTTATTGGAATGTCTAGATTATACCCACTTATGTATAATACTTATAATAATTGAAATTATAAGCGAGAGTAACGTCTTGGAAATATATGCACTGATGAGTAGAACAAAACTTTATATATTGAAGTATTTGAAATATTCTTATGTTAATAATTAGCAACGCTGAACATCTTTATAGATCAATTTGTTCGAAGAGTTAATGAGTATGCTATAATTGTAAGTTTTGTGAAATGTAGAATTTTTCATCATCTGAACTGAATTCCACAATTCTCCATAATAATGGTAGGGATTATTTGCAAATGCAAGATTTATGTTCCATACAGAACATAAATCTATGCTAGAATATTAATTCATTGATTTTTTCCAGATGATAAATATGTGTTTTGCAAGCAGGCATCATAATTTGAATATTCACCTGCAGCCGCTCCTCATAATAAAGAAAAAGTCATATTTACATTGAATCTAGATAATTTAGCAAAACGAGTCAAGTAGCCATACGTACTTATTGAAATTTTCTCTACACTTATGAAGAATATCCATGGCAAAATGGTAATCATGCAATTCACAAATCGAGAATTTCAGTATATAGCTCAGATTATACTCTTAATTTAGAAAAATCGTGTACAATGGTCACAAAATGGTAATTAATTGACATAATTCTTTCAGAATTTCCTTATTTTTGATGCATTGTTTTAGATTTTTTTGAAAAATTTTCCTTCAGAAATGCAACGACCGTAAGATGTTTCATTTTAATTCCTTATAAATTTAGCTGGCTCAGAGAAAATTAATCTCCTCTGAATCTATCTAAAATGAAGAAATAAATGCTTAAAATAACATACGAGGGTTGATCCAAAAGTAATGTCACAACTTTGATAAAATTGCTATAAATTGACGTAGATGAACAAAATTATACATGATAGAAGCTTATTTCATTTCAAATCAGACCTTAAAAATTGAAAGGAATATGATGTATACTTTCCAAAATACCGGATTTTAAACGATGTGCGTTTATGGTAATCGCCGCACCTAAATATAACGTCATATGACGGATACGCACCGTCATACTTTTAAGCATTTCCCCTTCGTTTCATTAAAAAAATATTTGTGATTCGCAAACACTCTCACCAATTCCGCTTTCTTTAAGAATTCTTGGTACCATTATACACTCACTCTTTTCATAATTAATCCCTTTGTCAAAAATATTTGAATAGTAGCATAAGACAACTTAAAAAAAATTCACATGTCACTCTATACGTCTGTCTTTTTTGACAACGTAAGACACCATTGAACGTGTCCGTCCGATCTCCTATCTTTCGGTCTTCTTGTCCACTGCTGATCATTCAGTGACCAATCACTCGCCCAAAATTGCTGAAATCATCTATTAATCATCTCTTTTTTACATTATTTATTCTCTAAGTCTGATTAATTAACATAACTGTCGCCTGTGATGATTCCCATATTTCGAAGCAAAAATGCATTACAACTCGTCCAGCAGTTTTTTTTTCTAATTTCAACAATCCTTTTGTTCAATTCAACAGAGTAAAACAACACTGTTTATGATCACAAATTCCAATACCGTCTTTTAATTTTCAATTAAAGACTAGAAAATGACGAGAATTGTGTCTTTAAAAATTGGGAGATTAGCTGCTTTTTTAGAATCTTTTTACCGGTAATGTGTTTGTCTTTTATATTCTAAGAAAAAATACCCTTTAAAACATTATGTTCCGTTGTGACGCGGCGGCACCCCCTATGCTCTATATTTTAAACATCGATAAAATAAATTCAAATAAACATTATAAAATTAAAATTTCAATGTTAATTAGATCTTTTGGTGTATTATATTTGATACTATGACGCCAAATATAAAAGATATGGGCACTGTGACATTACTTTTGGAACAACCCTCGTATTTCAACTGAAATTATTTTTTCTTCAAACCTTATCTGTTTTATTTTCAAAAGAAATACACATAAATGGATGCACCTTAGAAGAAATTTTTAAACAATAAAATTCTTTCTTTGGTTCTTAGTACGGTTGTATAATTTTTTTCCTGCAATAGCTGTGACGTTAATTCCCGTACTAACAACCAAAGACATTTTATTGTTTACATATAAATCTGTAGAGATGATCATTTAAAGTAAGATTAAGAGGGTTAATTATTGTATAATTAATATGTACGTCTTAGTATGTTTAATTGATGGAATAATCACTGAAAAAGAAATCTGTACAGGTGATATGCTTAGTATTGTTCATGAACTGATAAACAAATATGGTTTTCTTAAGAAATAAAGGAGAAAATATTTAGTGGATGCACATATTTCATCATTAAACAACTTCAACACGTTATATACTTCAAGATTTAAAAAAAGATAATGAATCTATAATGCAAATGATAAATTATCAGATTTTAAAATCTCAAAAAAATCACTTAAATTATGATGAAAACACTTGATCTGAACAGGTGAATCAACAGCATTATTGGAGTCTCAAACTAATGAAGCAAAAAAATACAATAGTTACATATTGAGTTTTTGTGCATTATTTCAATGAATTCTTTTCCTTTTTTTGAATTAGAACGCATTTCACCAATTTTTTTTTTGTTTTGTTTTGTTTTGCTTCACCTGTTTAATAATAAAAAAAATAGCATGAGGTTTGTCACGTATTATAAATATTCTCCGAAAAACCAAATCACGTTCCTAAATTACTACCATTGGCATCAAACTATTTGAAAAATAGATACGTTCAAAATTTGACAAAACTTATCTGCTAAAGACATTTTCCAGACATATGAATTAAGGGAAATTAATAAGAAAAAAATTTCAAGAAAAAATTATATAAATAAGTAAATAAATAATCAAATTATAACCTCAAATATGTCAATATTTAAACAAAATATAACATATGTTTTTAATGATGAAAAATATTCAAAACTTTCAAAAAAATGCTTATTTCCTTAGTGGGAAATAAAGTAATTTTATGCATTATATGTAGCGGAGATAATGTGTAAATATTTGAGAAATTGTTATTAGGATATTTATATAATGACCAAAACAGGAAAGGGATTTTTCAAATTATGTTTATTTTAAGAAAAAGTCATGTGAACCTATGGCACAATTCTTGTTTTATTAAAGATTAACACAAGACAAATTACTTAAAAATGAAAATTTACCTGCCAAAAAATGTGAATGTTTGTCAAGATTTTTCAAGGTTATCTTATAATTTAAACTATTCTTTCATATGGCCATGGAACTTTGGTGTGATATAAACATTTTAACAAAGCCTTATCCTTGGATGTTTAATATTTCCGAGATGAAAAAAGAAAACGCAATCCGTATATGTACGGGTCCCTGCTGACAAAGTAAAGAGCAATATTGCCTTTGTTACTGATTTAAGGCTCATTGTTTTCATTGTATTTTAGAACAATTTGCATATATATTACAATATTCAAGAAGTGAGGTAAATCAGATGTGGAAACTAAACAGTTCAAAGTAATTTTTGGAAAATTTGAAATCACAATATTTATGACTTCTCAATTATTTACCACAAAAAATTAAGTCTAGGCTATTTTTTTTACATTAACAACAGTTGTTTGTTTAAGAGAATAAGAAACTTTATAATGACCTTTACTTATCCTAGATTGTTGCAATATCATTTTTTAAACATTATGATTGTACACACAAGTGTTCTGAAAATAAAAGTTCAGGCTTTTTTATATCATTGACATAAGAATGGTATGAAATGCTATATCTCGGTGAGCTTGAGATTAAAGATACCACAGAGTCTGACTCATCTGTTTCAAATTTGGATATTTTAATTGAAAGGACGTTAATGGCAAGCTAACAACCATGTTCCATGGTAAACGTGATGAATTTAACTTTTCAATCGTCAATTTCCCTTACTTATGCAGCGATAAACCATCATCACCTGTACACGGAGTTTATATCTCTCAGTTGATTCGATACGCAAGAACATGCTTTACGTATGCACAATTTCTAAAACGAGGTAAATTATTGACAAACAAGTTGTTGAAAGAAGAATATCAGCATACTCGTTAAAGTCATCATTTCGTAAGTTCTGTGGTTGATACAATGACCTTGTCAGCAAATACAATTTATCATTGAGTCAAATGCTGAATCACGTTTTTCATACGAATTGTTAGTCCATTATTTATACATTGAATAACGACGGGTTTTCAGTTATTTTCCGACCATGACAAGGATCACTCGGCTGGTGTGACTGTCGAAAGGGGATGCTCATTCCTCCATGGCACTTGTTACCACCTCTGATGTTTTGGAGGTCCGTGTTTTGCTCTGCTCCTATTTTGTATTTTCATACCTTTAAAATTTGTTCCTATACAAATCTATAAAAGTCCAACATTTCTAATGTTTTGCTGAGCGGGCATAACAAAAATCTATGTTGGACCAGTCGATGAGATGTTGGACCGCTCATGTCACAGAATGGGCGGAGCTTAATCTCATTTGCATTAATTTATGTATAACAGTGACGGACCTGAGGTTTACATTATGGATGACAGTACAAGATACGTGCGTGTCAAAAAAATTAAAGGTATAACAAAACATTTATTGACTGTGTTCTCGGGCAAAATGCGTTTTGTTGAACCCTCGAACAAAACTGTCTGCGTAAGGCCTAACGGCCTCAGGCAGACAGTTTGGTTCTTGGGTCCGACAAAACGCATGTTGCTCTCGAACTAAGCCAATAATTGTTTATTGTTTTATTGACTTTTTAGCTTGAACATTGTTCTTTATCTCCATATATTTCATACAGAAAGAAGAATAAAACTGTATTAAGATATGAAGGGTTTACATCAATTTCAACTACTCTGTATATCAAAATTGATAAACGTGATAAACAGGTTAAAATAAAAAAATATTAATATTACATTATATTATTATTATTATTATTATTATTATTATCATAAAAATGTAACATATTTATTATTGTGATTATGACGATAAAATTTCTACAACATGTGGTGATTATGAGGAGCATAATTTCTTAGGTGCCTTTATTGTATTTAGAAACTATGAGTACTGCAGTATTGTTTTTGTTCTTTTTATTTTCCTCAAGTGTGTAACTGACAGAGAGGGTAGAGTGTAACAACATACAAAATAATAATCGCTCTATGCATAGTAGAAAAATACCAATACTGCTGATGAGAAAATGACCTGAGGTTTTAAATTAGCTCAATAACACTCACTTATTTTCTTAAGAGAAATACACATATTTTCCTTAGTGTGCAGAATGTGGGAAATTCTTAAGAGAAATACACATATTTTCCTTAGTGTGCAGAATGTGGGAAAATAATAATTTTCGATACAACTCCCCCAATCTTTGTAAACATTGACCATCAGAGGAATCTAATTTAATCAGTTCGAGCTGATAATGGGGAAAATACTACATAGTGGGGAGTAGTAGCATTTTGTCAAAATAAAATATACAAATAATTCCTCAAAGGTAAACGTAAGGTAAAAAAAAAACCTTTATCTTTTTATCGTTCTTAAAGCTTACAAATTTAACACGTAGAGAAGCGTTTATTATGTAGATTGAGTTTTGTGACGCCCCAGTGTTTGAGGGGGTTGTGGAATTCCAGGAGGTGGACAGGAATGTCGATTATCTCCCCTAGATACTGGAGCTCCTCTAGTTCTATCTGTATGTCCTCCACCAGACTCCTGTGGTCCTCACAGCTCCACCTTAACCGGATGTCCTGTATCTCGTGACGGAGGGTCAGGAGCTGCCGGGCGAGGGCCTGGTCTACCAGCCTCATAGCCTTCTGTAATAGAGAAATACAGCATTAATTCATTGTAATTGACAAATGGAATGTTCTCAGGGTACTGCATTCATTGTAATTGAAATGTGAAATGTTCTCAGGATACAGCATTGCTCATTAAATAAAAAATAAGAAATATAAAGATAAAAGAAAAATTCTTATTAATTTAAAAATTGTGGCAGGATTAAGAGGATTGGCTATTAAGAAATATATTGAAAAACCTTAATAAATATTTCATTGAAAATGTACATGTCAACTTTTTTCAGCGTTATTTCTTCAAATTATGACACGGAATAAACCTGACTATTGGAACATTGAATAACAAGTGTTCATTTGTCAAGAAGCTTAAGCATTTTACGTCCATCCTTTGTTTATTAGTCACTGTGTCGTAGTCATTATGTTAACAATTTCGAATTTTTCAAAGAAACAAGATGTTAACTATAGAACTGTTCTTTTTTTTAATTCTTGGACTTTAATCTTTCACAGAATGTTCTTGTAGGAAATGCAAGGTCAACTTTCAAAGTTTCAGAAAATAGATTCTCAGGGTAAGTTTTTAAGAGACACAACCTTTCAACAAATTTTCTTCTAAAATCTAGGATATGCTTAAAACAGATTAAACACAGTTTGATTTTTACAATAACTTTCAAGCCGAACAATGTCATAAATAGCAATCGTGCTTTTCCTGTTTTAAACAACCAAATCGCTTTTGAAATGACGAAGCAAAATAATTATATCCTTCGTGAACGCAATGTAAGCTGCATTTCTGATCATTTTACTTTGCTATTAAAATGATCACTATGATAAATTTTTAAGTAATTTAAACCTTTCTGATAAATTCAACAAAAATGAAGTAGGAAATTGTTTCAAGTGAAAGACCTCTGCACAATAAAAAAATAAGTATTATTTAAGAAAACAATTTAGTACAGGACGACAATTATACAATTTTGCATCATTAGGAGCTTGTAAATAGTCCTATACTTCTATTACAAATATGAACAACCAAAGTTTATAAATGTTCGTTTTCTCTATCCTTGAAAAGGTTATTGATAATATTGCCACAGAAAAGTTTGACATTAAAGTTGCAGCTCATACTGCTTTAAAATGACAGCACGACTTATCATTATGAAATTATTAGTGGCTGCAGTACTGAGTCTCTATCAAATATTTCAAAACTTTATCTGAAACTTTATCAACAATAATCGGCATTTTATGTCGTGTCAGTTAAAGATTTAGTATATGGTGAAGTTATGGAAGTGTTTTAAAAGTTAACAAATTTTAATTATTATTAGAGTTTTGAAAGATCCATCCATGTTCGTTTTCTTAAATTTTTTCTACTTTTATGTGACTTTTCCTCTTCAAATTAAAAACTTATCCTCATTTTCCTTTATTCTTACTGAAGCTGATTCTTCTTTGATTCATAAATAAAAAATATGTTGTGGAAAGAATAATCTGCTTATTATCTTTTTTGAAATAATTATTAAAACGCAGCATATAAGTTATTATTACATTTTTACCCGTGAAATACTGTAATTTATTCATTGAATAAAAATGACATCCTGTCACAGTGTGAAAGGATATCAAAATGATAAAAATTTAGTATATAACGAAGATTGCTGTAAAAAAAATCTTCCTTGACCTAATATAAGATGTTAAATAAAAGTTGACAAATTTTAACAAAATCCATGTATTATATGACGAGCTCAACTATGACGTCATGAGCCTATGACTGTATTATAAAAAGACAGAGGCAAAGGCAGAATTGTTTTTAAAAATGTAATAAACAGAAAATTCAATGTGTTGTAGTTGAATTTTTTTTCACTACTTTTATGTGACTTTTCCTCTTCAAATTAAAAACAAAACATTAATATCCTCCTCATTAAATTAAAACCGTTCCGTTGTAAATACAATGAAATTGAACTTCTTAAATTAAACTAATAAATAAAGAGAAAAACATTATAACAATATCCATATAATGGTAGGAGATAAATGTTGATAAAGACAAAGAGGCTTAAATCGTACTAAGCAAGATATTATGGATATTATAGAAGTAAAACTCCTGAAGATCGAAAATGAAACCGGTTGAGTTTATCTTAGTGTTGTGCTTTTTTTATTATTGAAGTAAATATACTGTAAGTAGAAGTGAAAACTAGAGATTTTTTTTTTATTATTAACCATGATAACGTACACTGGGAAAATATATTTCCTTTTTTTTCTTTTCCAAAGAAATCAGTGGTAAAATAACTCATGTAAAAAAAGTAGAAATTGGTTTATTATTGAAGAGTTTAAATCCAAAAGTAAACCTTTGACCAGTTATGGTTTTGCTATTCTTGAGAAGATGATTTTTAAAGAATTTTCCTATATATTTCTATGTAAAACTTTGGTCGGCCATTGTGGCCCCGCCCTACCCCAGGGGTCATGATTTGAACCCACTGAAATACCTGAGGGTGCTTCCAATAAATATGATCACTTATGACTTTGTTATTCTTGAAAGAAGATTTTTAAAGAATTTTCCTATATATTTCTAAAAACATAAATTGTGGCCCTGCCCTACCCCGGGGGTCAGAGAAAACTGCCTGACATATAAATATGATTAATTATGGCTATGTTATTTTTGAGAAGAAGATTTTTAAAGATTTTTTCTATATATTCCATTTTATTGTGTAGGACACTACCCGAGATCAATTATGGCTTTGTTATTCTTGAGAAGAAGATTCTTAAAGAATTTTCCTATATATTTCTATGAAAAATTTTGGTCGGCCATTGTGGCCCCACCCTATCCCCAGGGGTCATGATTTGAACCAACTTGAATTGACACTACCTGAGGATGCTTCCATATAAATATGATCAATTATGGCTTTGTTGTTCCTGAGAAGAAGTAAAGAATATATATATGTAAAACTTGTAAATATATTTGAATTGACACTACCCGAGATTTTTAAATATGATCAATAATGGCTTTGTTATTTGATTTTTATTTTCCTAACCATAAATAAAACTTGTATTGACACTACTTGGGAAAAAACATCAATTATGGCTTTGTTATTCTTTTTTTAAAGAATTTTCCTTTTTCTATGTAAAATTTTGGTCAAAAAAACAAAAAACACTACCTGAGGATGCTTCCATATAATTATGATCAACTATGGTAAAATATATTTCTAAAAAATTCTAGAAAACTTGAATCTACACTACCTGAAATTTCATCTTTCCTGGCACAGTGGTTCTTGAGAAGAAGATTTTTAAAACATACCACCATATTTTCATTAATTCCCAATTATCTCCCCTTGAATGAGGGTGTGGCCCTTCATTTCAACAAACTTGAATCCCCTTCTCCCAAGGATGCTTTGTGGTAAGTTTGGTTGAAATTGGCCCAGCGATTCTTGAGAAGAAGTCGAAAATTTTCGTCGAAAAAGTTTACAGACAGACAGACAGCTAGACAGCTAGAATAATTTGGGCATCAATTACAATTTCAAAAGAAATTTGAAAGAAATAACTCCGAATAATTTGGGCATCAATTACGATTTGAAGTCACGTTTTTATTCTAAATTCTTTGTTTTCAGCCCGATTAATAATAACATGCAGATATATGAATCATATAGTACCAGTTCGTGTCGAATCCAGTTCAGAGCCTGATCTATAGTCATGGTTTTCCCTTCACACTCCACCTGCCCAGCAGGAAACCCTTTCTTCTGTGGTCTCTTAGTTCGACATTCCTCTGTCCAGTTCTTTAATGCATTCTCACATAACACAGCTTTCCTGTTGTTCTGTTTGAAGAAGTTGTCATAGTGATTTGTTTTCCAGTTTATATAACTCTGTCTCTTCGTCTGGAGTCGTAATCTTGAGGCGGTGGCGCGTAATCGCACGAGGTCAGATGGGGAGCCCGGGGGTACAGGCCTCTCCCCCTCATGGTCGGGATTACAGTCGGAATTTTCGAATACTCCTTCTTTTATCACATTTAGCCCAGGTTGCCTTGACACCGGTTTCATGACTTTCACACTTTTTGATGTATTTATCTCCCGATTTTCAACTTCATACAGGAACACTTTTCTGAGATTCCAACATAGTTCCGGTAATATATTTCCTGATTGACACAAGAAATTGTGATGTTTTTAGATAAATAGACCGTTATCTGTTTGTATCATTTTCTTATCCATCGTCTTAATTGACTCATCAGCATAAGTAGCGATCCTGGCCTCTTATCGTTCACCCACGATTTCAATGCGCATGGTGCAAGATCTGTGTTCTCTATGAATTCAAGTGGTTCCTATCTTTTAAAAGTTCAAAGCGTATGCTTATATATTCATTTCAAGGAGAGGTTCCCTGGGAGTACTGCACTGTAAGCTGAGACCGTTGTTAATTACTGTAATGCTCAATTGAAAACATGTTTGTTTCCTCGCGTCTAAGACTATTTCTGACTTCTGAGCGCGAAGAGTTATCTGTTGAATGAGTGAGTAAGAATGTCGGCTATTTTAGTCATGTCTTTCCTTGGAAGCTTGACCATAGTTTTTATCAATCAAATTAACCAAGAAAAAATGTATACATGTATTGTGATAAAATACCGACCTCATCAGATAATTAATTCTTTGTCCAGTTTCCAATATAGGATATTACTATCCAGTTTTAACTGGAGAAAGAGTGCATTGTGCATTATATAGTCTGTTTTTTTTAATCCTAGCTTCAAGCATGGATATGATTTTATTCCAATTGCTTTCAAGATACAAGCTTTAGCATCTACGTAATCGAAATTAAGAAATACGTAATCTAACAAAGAGCTGTATTTTCCATCAGCGCCTTAATAAAAGACAAACGATAAAAAATTTTTCTCGCCTTTCTCAGTTTAATGCCAGCCATAAGCTGTTAAACGCCGAGTGATTATGCGGAATTCTAACTAATACACGGGGAGATTTATCTCCTTCATCTGCATCTGTAACGTGTCAATCATAGAAACAGCTGAGTCGAGCAAGTCAATCATCACATGATTAATAGAGAATCAACAAGTAAACAAAAACTACACTGCTAACTGGTTATTTCTGTTTTCAATCTACTCTTTCGGTGGCGAGGCCATGCCACTACATAGATACATGTCCGAGAGGTCAGCATCCCGAGAATTAATTCCAACATTGCCTTTAATTATTAACAAAGGCAAGAAAATGTAATGCATTTTAATTCGCAAACGAGGGTTTTATCAATATTTTTCGCAAGCAAGTAGTAAATATGGCAATTATTTCAATCAATAATGTTGGAATGCTGGAAAATCTTTTTACTGAAAATATTTTCAAATAAGATTTAACCAAAAGAATGTTTTGTCATTCTCTTTACATCTACTGGTAATATTGTTGACAAAAATGTTCCTCTCAAACAATACAAAACCTGTCAGCAGGGCAAAATTATATATTCATTTTGATTATATATTGATTAGATGGACGAAACACTTCGTAGTCATATTTAGTATGAAATATGGAGATAACAAACAGTATTCATCCTGAAAGGTCCATTTTGAAAAAAACGAATCAGGAAAAAAGCAAACACGGGCCTCTAAAACACCAGAGGAGGGATCCGGTGCCATGTAGGAGTAAGCACACTCTGCCGACCGGCCACACCCGCCGTGTGCTTCCTTTCACAATCGAGAACAAAACGATTCCTTGTCAGCAAATACAATTTATCATTGAGTCAAATGCCGACTGACGTTTTTCATACTAAAAGCTAGTCCATTATTTATACACTGAATTGACGACGGATTTTTCCGTGTTTTCCAGATCATGACAAGGAGTACTCGGCGGGTGTGACCGTCGGCAGGGGATGCTCACTCCTCCATTGCACAGGATCCGACCTCTGATGTTTTGGAGGTCCGTATTTGCTCTGCTCCTATTTTGTATTGTTTTATGGAGTTTTGATCTTGAATACTGTTCGTTATCTCCATGTGTTTCATTCAGTAAACTATATAAAAATTGACCTAATAATTACTGTAGATCACTAAATTTTCGTTATTTTCGCGAATAGTCTATATAAAAATTGATATATTCCTAATGATTAGTATAAAGTTCTCGAATGAAATGTTTACAGTAGTATGAGAAATGTTCCTCAGCATTCTGAATGAAAAGATTGTGTTTGCAGTCAAGTCCATTGTATCGACCGTAGAATTTGCTGACTTTAAACATCCATTCATATTCTTGTTTTATCAATCTGTTTGTTAACACCGTTTTAGAAATGTTCGCACGAAGGCATGTATCAGATCAACTGAGAGACACATAACCCCATAGGCAGGTAATGTACATGTATCTTACTAAATAAGTAAGGGACTTTTTCGATTGAAAAGATTAAAGCCATCACGTTTATCATAAAGCTTTGTTGTAAGCTACTACTGTCGTCTTTTTCTAGAATATTCAAATTTTATGATAAAGTCTTCTTCAATTTTGTTATATATCAATTTAAAAAAATCGTTTTTTATTTATTTCCTATATATTTTATATTTCTCTAATAATCAAGAGTAAAAGTATTTATTCTGACACTATATACACTCATTATGAAAAAAAGATTTGATCATATTAACTAAATGTTAATTTTATACCATCATTTTTATTGCATAGGATATATAAGTGCAGATGATAATGCCATTATCGGCTGATACTGAGTATCCCTATAGGCCGGCCTGTATCATTTCCACACATTTTTCAGAGTTTTGAGTTTATTGACTCCTTGGTCGGAACTTTTCCGCCTGTCCCCATAAATAGCTGGGGTTTCCAGTTAGGGTCTGTCAAGGCCGGTCTGTCGATGTTAAATTTAGAAATGTCGTACTGAGTTTTCCCGTCAATCGCCATTTCACTGAGAATCTTTCCAAGAAGACCGGCAAACCTGCAAAATCTTTTAACTCTTAAAGTTGGCATTTTTTGTCTCAATAGTCAATACATGTATGTCATGGTTTTTATTTTTTAAATTCACTCTTTAGTGAAATTATACTTCATTTATTATTTTATTTTCATGAACAATTTCAGACCAAGTTCTTTTTAAGTGGTAATGTCTGTTATCATAAATTTTCATACTGAGTTTTATTCCATTGCTTGAATACTGTTAAAATAAATTTTCAGACTGAGTTTCATTTCATTGGTAAAATTTTATTATTATAAATTATCAGACATAATTTTATTAAATTGAGAAATCTTATTATCACATTTTAGATGTAGTTTTAGTTGCATTAGTAGAGAACTTTTCCTATGTATTTTCCGACTGACACATACTTGTAGCAATGTCCCGCTCCACAACAGAGAATTACATTGTCGTAACCTTCAACTCTCTTCCCACAGCTATCCACGACAAAATGGCGGTCAGGCGGCATTGTGTACAGACAGGTCTTAGTGTACATCAGAGGGCCTAGAGACTAAAATATACAGACAGAGTTTTAATGCACATCACGGGGCCTTGAGACTGAAATAAAGACAAGTTTTATTTAGTGTACATCAAAGGGCCTTGAGACTGAAATAAAGACATGTTTTAAAGTACATCCAAGGACCTAAAGACTGAAATAAAGACAAACTAATTGAATAACTTCCATACAAGAAAGAGTATTTGGTTTTAATGTTGATTATATTTTAAATTTCTGGTTTCTGACTAGACCGTTCTATTCAATGTATATTTACGTGAATGAGATTCTGTCACAAAGAAAAGATTTTTCCGAGTTTTATATTTCTTTCCAATTGTACAACTTTTATGACAATGGTAAACTTATTTGAAAAATGGTCTATATTTTGGCGGTATGGTGGCGTATGAAAATATCTTCTTTTCTGCCTCTCAAAATTATTAAAGAACAATGAATTTAGTTATAATTTTTACACAATCAAAGAATTGAAGAATTCTTTTAATGTTAGCTAAATTAATAATAAGGGACTAAAGTTTTAAAATACATCAAATAAATATGATTTTCCAAACAGACTACAATTATGTCAGCTTTAAAAAGCTTATATCATTGTTCAAATATTCAAAATTTTTCAAAGTGCTAATTGGAGGTCTCTTGATAGCAAATTTTTTGTCTTAATTAAAAATACATATTGTTCTCAAACTTCTTTCACTGGGAAAATAAGAAAAATCTTAATATAGGGCGCATAAAAAAATAACTTAAATATCCTAAAAATTCAAGAAAAATAGAGAAAATTCGGATTAGCCAAAAAGCATTTTTGTAAAACTATTTGTGTCAATTTGGTAATATCATCTTATAGACCTTATATGGTTATATCTTTTTATACAAAAAGAAAAACATTTAATCTTTTGAAATAAAAGACCTAAATATTGGATGCAGTCATTTTTTACATTGTGACTTCAATGTCAAGGAGAGAAACTAATGACATATGACTGACCTTGACTCTAATATAAAACGTGTGTAAATTTTATCTAACTGAATTGTGGTTTTGTAGATATATATTGTCTTTTTGATCACCTCTCGTATATATATTCATTTTTAAATACAAGAAATACAGTTTTGTGTGAGAAGAATCCTACCTTAAACAATACAGAAATGGAGAAAAGGAAACACGAAATTCGAAAACATCACAGGAGTGAGCATCTCCTGCCGACCGGTCACACCCGCCGTGTGCTTCTTGTCATGAACGGGGAAAATTTGAATGATCCATTGTCAATTCAGTGTCTAAATAATGGACTAACAATTAGTTTGAAAAACGTAAGTCATCATTTGACTCAATGAAAAATTGCATATGCTGACAAGGTCATTGCATCGACCAAAGAAGTTACGAAAAGATGACCTTAAACGAGACTGCTAAATATTCTTGTTTCATCAGCTTGTTTTTCAATAATGTACTTCCGTTGTAAAAATGTTTCGTACGTAGAACATGCTCTTGGATATCGAATCAACTGAGAGATAAACCCAATATACAGTTAACGTACGTAAATTGCTGCAAAAGTAAGGGAAGTTGACCATTGAAAAGTTAAAAAATACATCACGCTCATCATAAAGCTTGGTAAGTAGATAACCATTAACGTCTTTTTCACGTAAAATATCCAACAATATCAGACTTCGTAGTATCTTTTATTTCAACCGGGATAAATAGTATCGACATAAAAATGGAAAAAATAATTGTTAATTGACAATATATTTCTAAATGTCAAGTTGAAGACCAAAGTAAGTGTTTTCCCATGGGAATTCTAATAGATTGTTAGAAGACTTGGCCTCCAAAACCACATAGAAATTGTCAATCAAAAAACAAAATAGTTTTGCAAATGACCATTGAGGAGGTTAGTAAATTAACAAGTTCCATTTTTATTGAAAAAGCAGTTGTCAATATCAAAAAGCCTTGACTTTAATTTATCGTTGGGAACGTTTGCATATAAAGTACCATCATAAGAAAACCACTTCTTGAATATATTGTTTCAAAATTCTCCAGAAGTTTCATCAGAGAGAACAGAGACTGACATTGTATAGAAATATCTTTTTATTCATCTGAGGGCCTAGAGACTAAAATAAAGACATTCTTTACTGTACATCCAAAGGCCTATAGAGACTGAAAATGTACAGACAGCTGGTGTTAGTGTATATGAGAAGGCATAGAGACTGTAATTATACAAACAGGTTTCAGTGTGCAAAACCCCATAGTTTTTAAAAAGACTGGTCTGGAGTGCAAGTTATCAAGAGACTGATATTGTACAGGTAGATTCTTGTGTACATCGAAAGACAAGTGTCTTGCTGAGAATCATTTGGCATATAAAAAAGATGGGTGGTGGTAAATGAAGAAAAATAACTACCAGATCATGGAATTTTTTTTTCTTCCCATTGTTTTATAATTTCGAATTTGTTACTGTTTATTCCTGGCTTTGACCACTGCACCTAAGCAAATTCTTGCTAGGGGTTTCGCTAACGTTGAAAAGAAACAAAAAACCCACTGTATTAAAGTGTTCATATACATGAGGTTTTAGGAGAAAATTTCGAGTTTTTTACTAAGCTGAACGTAATGAAAAAATATGAATGGTTGTCTTTCTTACACCGTTCCCTTCATATAAGACTCCCTTTGTAAGCAAGAATCTCTCGAATGAAACTTTATATTACGTTTCATTAGGTATTTTATTTACCCTTGGAATTGTTTTCTTTAGATGATCGATGCAGGCCTGTTCACGGACCGGATCTGGATTGAAGTTCCGGGTATCTGCTGTGACCACAGGACCGCCTGCATCAATGCCAATCTTACTTCCGGAGTTCCCATGCATCGGAAGTCCGTAAAAGTCATACTTAGGTGAATGGTAAATCCAGATCGGGTACCTATGGACATAATTTAAACGTTTCTTTGCAAAGCCTGTTTCTTTCTCTTTTTTGAGAAATCGTTCTGTTTTGAATCAAATTTGTTTTTGAAATATGCAAAAAAAAAATATACTTTTCTTTGGTGAATTCTTTGACGTGTGGCGTGGCGAAGTAAGTGACCTGTTCCTGAGTGACGTATACAGGAATATGGAGTCCGATGGAGCCCAACACATGGTTTATCCAGGCCCCGGCCGACACTACCAATTTCTGGCACTGAAACACGCCCCTCGGAGTATAAACCTATAATGCCAAAAATAATCTAATCAAACACGTGTACTCCATTGATGAAAATAATCGTGTTTTAGAGACAAATTTAGACAATTTTATTTTGAATTATGCATTAAAAGTTCTTTTTTCTCATCAAAATATTATTGCAAGGAAATTATCAATGTTATTCTTAGGTGGATCTGTGACAGGGAAGGTAATTTGTTTACCCCAGCCTCCTTAATTTCAACAAGTTAGAAGGAATCTATTCTAGTTATGAATGAAATATATTGAAATAACGAACAGCTGTATTCAAGCTTAAAGTCCATTAAACTATACTATATAGGAGCATAGCAAACATGAACCTTCAAAACATTAGGGGTGGGATCGGGTGCCATGGAGGAGTGAGCATCCCCTGCCGACCGGTCACACAGGCTGTGTGCTTCTTGTCATGATCGGGAAATATTGGGAAAGTCAGTCGTCAATTCAGTGTATAAATAATGGATTTATTTAACAATTAGTACATGTATGAAAAAAGTCAGTCAGCATTTGACTCATTGATATATATTGTATTTGCTGACAATGTCATTTTATCGACCACAGAACTTATGAAACAATGAATTTCAACGAGACCGCTGATATTCTTGTTTCATCAACCTGTTTGTCAACATTTTATCTCGTTTAAAAATTGTACATACGTAGAGTATGCTCTCTTAAGTATCGAATCAACTGAGATATATAGACTTCGTGTGCAGGTGATGATGGTATATTGCTGCATAAGTAAGGGAAATTGACGATTGAAAAGTTAGTCATTACGTATATCATAAAAATTGGTTTTTAGATAAAAATGAATCATTTCACCGACAGGTATATTTGAAAAACGCTACATAAAATGTAAAATCGTATTTTCTGAATTGTCATACAGAATCTATTACTGTGTCAACATACAATTTTGTTTCTAAAAATTGCATTTTTCATAGATATTTTTATAATAGTGAGCTAAAAAATAATTTTCGAGATAAATGTTTGATATATCAATAGCTTCGATCATTGCGGTGTACATGTAATTCGTTACACTAGTTTTTTTTTTCTCATCAAAACCAGATTATATTCACTTTTATCGAAAAAATATGCTGTGTGATGTGTCAACTTCAGAAATTGATAAAAATAAGGTATTTTCTAAAGCATATTTCTCAAGTATACGTAAGTCCGTTTATAACTTATCATTTTTGCAATACGTTTTATATGAAAAGCAAAGATGGTTGGATGTCAGATGGCATTTTAAAACTGAAAATGTCACAAAGGTTTACGTTGAAATAAAACTCTGAAATTTCTGACACAATGTTTTACTTTTTAAGCGTGATTTACAGAACTTCCCCCAAATAAATAACCCTATCATACTTATAATTTTCAGCTTTCGCAGCTTTCTCATTATAGCAATATTCTACTTCTTTTTTAATTAAGGAGGAAGGCACACTAATGGATAATTAAACACACACATTTTCTGTAAGATAAGAGGGAGCTATACCAGATATGATAACAAAAAATCCCAATTCAAAATAGAAGAGCGAAGAATGTTCTCATGTTTATTTCATACGTTTGAAAAAATGCTTACATAAATGACACGCGTAAGAATTTCACCATTCATATTAATTAGAATCAAGGGTTTGTTTTTTTTTTCCCTCTTTTTTTACTAAAACGCATTTGTCTCTATCTCGTTTACATCATCATGAAAACCGCATATCACAAATTTGATATTTCATTTACATATTTTTCTACATACACTAAAACAATTTCTCTTCGCGGACAAATGCAAGGCATACTGGTATGTGTTTCCTTGTGGAGTTAACATTCGCCTGTTTCTAGCGTAAATTACGTAACAAGTCCCTACTAATCACAAGGAATTTAATTAAACAGTTTAGCGAACTTTGTAGTGCACATTTTGACAGTTGTCGCAAAGATGACTTTGGAACGAACATCCACCCCAATTAACTCAAACTCCTTGTAAATGGTCAAGCACGTGATGAATCGGAAGAAATTTTCCTACCTCTGTGACATATATATTTTTTTTTTTACGCTTTTGCAAGTAGTTTCGTTCTTCGACGATTGTTTAACTTTTGTTTGCCTTCCATCATCTGTAGAAAAAAAATCCTGGATCCGCGGATAAACTTGTTTGAATGTTTGCATTTGCAATTAGCTACCAGAATGTGATGAATGGGAGAAAGGGTACAGATCTCTCCCAATTTTTTTTAAAGGTAAAATAATGGAAATTGGTTGTATTTTACAATTATATGTATTTACTTTTATCCCACCATTTGTCAATCTTTCAAGTCTTTGGACGGGGCAGTTTTCGAGGACTGTAGCACCGCGTGCACGTGCTAGCTGGATATGCACGGCGTTTCCCATAGCAGCGTCAACAAGCCCAGCCATTGGCTCATATATGGCTGTATATTCATCGGAAGTCTGAAACTGGGGGAATTTGGCTTGAAGTTCTCTGCCAGTCAGCCTTTGGTATCTAAATAAAAATACTTCAGATAACCTTTATAAGCTCACGGTCCTCATAAATCTGTATTTTTTGAGGAGGAATTCTCATATCTATATATTGAATTTAAATATTCATAATTTTTTCACAGATTGAAACTCGCATTACTTGATTTAATTTAATCAATATTTTATTATGTAAAGTAAGATTACATAATTGGATTGGACATCAGGCATGGCCTATATAAGTCCTCTCCAAGGTCAAGGTTACAAATGTTAAGTACTGACAATAAATTACAATGATGAAAATATTCCTTATGAGTTACATTAAATTCTTTTGTTAACTAACAGTGGGAAAAAAGGAAATAAATTGAATTAAATTATACAGAAGAATTATTACTAAGCTTATGCATATTTGCTATACAATATAATGATAAATAAATAAAAAATTAAATAAATAATTAAAAAAAATAAAGAAAGAAGTGCAAACAAAACAACAAAACAGAATACGTAAAGTGCAAAGAACTAATATTTAAGAAAATACAAAATAGAAAGAAATAGTAACATTTAAAAGTAAATAAATTCAAGCAATGACACTGAGTGAAGAGAAAAATAATAAAGTGCAAAGACAAATTACCAAGGAAAATACAACATATGCATAGAAAATGGAAATGCTGAGACTTGAAATAAGTAGAAAAAATAGGAAATATCTGGATTTATTTTTTTTTTAATTACAAAATACTATCAAAATCTTTTTGAAGACTTGATGTATAGTTGGACTGCTTCAAAAATTGAACAGTTAATTTTATAAGGTAGTTGCCTATCGCCAATTAGCAAAATATTCAAAATTTGATCAGGAGACATTGTTTCTAATTCTATTAAACTCTGAAGACTTTCAAAAAGTATCATTCTCTGATTATAATAGGCAGGACATCTTAAGAAAAAATGATAATTATCCTCGTTCAGATATCCACACTTAGTACAAGATGCTATTTCACTTAAGTATTGAGTATACAGGTGAGCATTTAAATTACTAGATTCATTTCTTAATTGACAATGTATAATGTTTTCCTTGCGATTGCCATAATGAAAGATTTTGACATCCTTTATTCTATCTGCAGCAGGTTTCTTTAAGACATTTTTAAAACATGAAAAAGATTCGATACATTTTGTTTCAAGTGGTAAATTATTCCATAATCTAATAGTAGAAGGCAAAAAACTGTTGAAATATGAGACTGTCCTTGCTTGAGGTATAACAAAATTAAAATTATCAATATTTCTAAGATTGTAACCATGATTTGTTGGCATAAAAGGTGTGACCATTTCTTGTAAATAAGGAGGGGATATACCATAAACAGTTTTATAGAACAACACGAGTTTTTGTCTTTCTCTTCTCTTATTTAATGGTTCCCAACCTAATTCTAAATACAAAGCATTTCTAGATGAATTTTTCCTGAGTCATGTTATCATTCGGGCAGCTTCTACTTGAATATTTTCTAAAAGATTTGAGAGTTCTTGTGAGCAATTATCCCAAACAATGCTACCATATTCTAAGATGGGTCGAATAAAAGCAAAATAGACTTTTACCAATGCACTTCTATCTAGCAGATGTTTCAACATTCTTAAAAGATTTAGTCGAGAACAAGTTTTATCATATAAATTATTTAAATGAGATGTCCATTTTGCATCACTTTGGAAAAGAAGTCCAAGATGGCAGTGTGACCTAGATTCACTAATAATGCTACCATTACAGCCAAATTGGACGGGGGGATGGTTATTTGAACTTCTTGTAAAATTTACATTACAAGTTTTGGTGGGATTGAGATCCACACCCCATGTTAAGGCCCATTTATTAATTTTATCTAAGTCAGATGTAAGTGATACTGCTGCTGCATTAACATCATTATCTACCACTATAAACAGTGATGTATCATCTGCAAATAGCCTGGTATTATTAACTAAATTATCAGTTATGTCATTAATATACAAGAGGAATAAGAAAGGACCTAGAACAGAACCTTGAGGAACACCAGCTGATACAGGTTTAAAATTTGAGAAGAACCCATTTACAGCCACTCTTTGAACTCTATCATCTAAGTAATTTTCTATCCATTTTAGTAATGTACCTTGAATTCCATAAGATTTTAATTTAAAAAGTAGACCTTTATGCCAAACTCTATCAAAAGCCTTTGAAATATCACAAAAAATGAATCTGACATCTTTACCTTTATCTAAATTAGATATAATTGTATTATAAATTTCCACTAATTGGTTGACAGTTGAGTCATTAGGTTGGAATCCTGACTGGTATTTTGTTAAGATATTGTTTTCTGATATAAAATTGTACAAATATTTAAAAATAATTTTTTCCATAATTTTGCAAACAGCACTAGTTAGTGAAATTGGCCTGCAGTTATTTACTAAGTCAGGACTACCTTTACCCTTAAAAACTGGGGTAATATTACCTTGCTTCCACACATTAGGTAAACGTTTTAATTCAAATGACTTATTAAAAAGTTTTGCTAGTGGTTTACAAATGGAGGAGGATAATTGTTTAAGAATTTTTGGTGTTATCCCATCTGGGCCAGGAGGTTTATTTACATTTAAATTGTTTAATTGATCAGCAACATCTTGTTCAGTGACAATTATGTTTTCAATTGTTACTAAGGGGGGACCAGGACCATGCTCAGGTACTGTTTTACTTTCATCAACACTAGAAACATTTGAGTAATAATTATTTAATGCTTCTGCCTTTTCTAATGGATGAAGTAAAATTTGACCATTTGATTTTATAGGAGGCATAGGTTTATGTTTGTTAGAAAGTTTTGCAATTGATTTCGTAATTCGCCACCATTTTCCTGGTGGTATATCTCTATTAAGTATCTTAGATGTAAGTTTTTCCTTATACTTTTCTTTAGCATGTCTAACCATAGAAATTACTTCATTTCTGAGTTCGCATTACTTAGTGACGGTTTCAATAAGATAAAATGTTACAGTTTAATTTTAGAAGCAAGGTCAGGTCTAAGTTATTATCTTTTCCTTGAGATTAAGAATAAAAAAACTTATGTTGCCAATCATGTGATACCTACTTCTATTTCAAAATGTTATTAAACAAGCTGCATATTTTGTAAAGTCTTTGATTGTTTAAAAATGGCATTTAAAAATTGTTGTATCAATTTTGAGAAGCAGAAATTCTTTTGCCTCAGTTCTGCCAAATACCGGTAATATAGTTCCTGCTAAATTTCATTAAACTCAGGTTATCTATTTCTAGGGAAACGAATATAACTACGTTCTTTAAAACCCAGATAAGAATCCTTCCTTGATTTAAAAAAATGTACTTGTAATATATTCGTACATGGAAATTCTATTGATACTAAATTGTTCTCAGAAATTTTCAAAGCATTGTTGTACCTAATATTGTTAGCGCTCATGGCGTCGGCGTACTTGTCGATGATGTACCCCATTTCGTCCTTCCTGGCCCAGTTAACTCCCCCTGTCTTGTAGACCAGCTGTACCCCGGACTCCCTCTCCACCTCCTCCCAGCTGGGTCAGAATCAAGAAAATTAAAACTACTCACTTTCAATCGAAATTTGTGTTTCCAACTGGGGTGAAAATAGTACTCACTTTAAATCGAAACATGTATTCCTGGGGGTAAAACAGTACTCATTTTAATCGAGACATATTTCCAATTTTGTAAAATAGTACTTATATTTAATCAAGACTTGTTCTTCAAATTTTGTGAAATTGTACTCATTTTAAATCTTTAAACAAGATCTCAACCGGGGTAAAATAATGTTCACTTGAAGTCGAAAATTATGCAATAAATAGTGACTGAATTATCTGAAGTAAATTACTTTTGTATGTGTTTTCTGCAACTACATGTACTATTATTTCTATTCATTTCAGGTTTTTTTTAAAAAATGGATTTAATTAGTAATACAAAACTAAGGAGAACTTTTTTATCCCCAGTCATTATGATTCATTTCGATGTAAATAATAATTGAAAAGTTGTAACGAGATAAGAGATTATTGCAAAAAAATAATAAATGTGTAAAAACTATTGTATAAATGCAAATGTCTGATAACTTACGCTTTGTACGTTTCCGGGGTCAGTTTGGTGTACATGTCATCATGATAGGCCAGTCGTCTGAAAAATACAGAGTTCTGGCCCTTGTTCCGCATCACCTTTAAAGTGATCGGAATGTAGTTCGTACTTATGCATATTCTGACTATGATTCAATTTAAAAATGTGCATATTGATTTATCTTGCCTTAAAACAACTGATTTCCATAAGGATATGTTTATTATTTTGCCAAATAAAACATCGCCAACTGGTTACATTAATATTCATTATTCAAATATAAAATCTCGAATATCCGTATTTGATGTTGTTTCCGACGAATGCTTGTTTCTTATGCCCATAAAACCGATGTTCCTCCCACAATTGTGTCTTTGCATCTAACGTAACTCGAGTTAATTGAACAACGATGGCCAAAGAGCCATTCATGTATATGTAGACATTTTTTTCTTTTTCAATCATTACTTTTGAACACCCAATTTCATTTCCCCTGCGAATCTATAAGTATAAGTATTAGCAAAACTTTTAAAGCTTTCCTGCCGACTTGCTTTAAATACATGTAACTGTTTTTATTTTTTTTCATCGAAATTATTTGAAATGTTTCATCGAAATTATTTGAAATGTTTCATCGAAATTATTTGAAATGTTCGAAATTTATGGCAAGCCCTTTTGCTATTTATTCGGAAAATAAAATTTAACTTAAAATTACAGAGATATCTCTCATTTTAGAGAAATATCTCTTTAAAAATAGAGATATCTCTCAACGTAAAGAGATATCTCTCATTTTGAAGAGATGTCTCTATGAGAAAGAGATATCTCTTAAACTTAGAGAGATATCTCTAATACTTAGAGAGATATCTCTTTTTATTAGAGAGATATCTCTTCCACTTGAAAAGATATCTTTTTCTCCTTGAGAGATATCTCTTTCGTGAAAAGAGATATCTATAAACGTTAAAGAGATATCTCTTTTACCTAGAGAGATATCTCTTTTACTTTTGGAGATATCTCTCAAGGATAAAGAGATGTCTCTTAAATTAAAAGAGATATCTCTCTTAGTTTATCTTAAGAGATATCTCTTCAAGTGAAAGAGATATCTTTCAAACGTGTCTAAAAGAGATATCTCTTTCACTTTAAGAGATTTCTCTTTGTCGCAAAGAGATATCTCTATACATATTTTATTTGAATACCATTTCAAATGACTTCTCCCTATACCGGAAGTAAACTTTTTATTGACGGAAGTATAGTTTATTATTTCGTAAGCTGAGAAAATTCGGTCCATTGCATATGCTTTCTTTCGTTTTCGTGAATATTAAACTTTACGCATTTTTATCAACGAAGTTGCCATTATTATTTGTTGTTTCAAGTAAGGGATTTATAGTATTTTTGTTTACACAGTACAAGACTAGTATTTTTCAGGGTAATTCCTTGCTCAGTCTTTTTTTTTCTTATAACATAGAAACTATTCCAGAGACTTTACTTCCTGTTTCGCTTTCGTTTTAAGGTGGAGAATTAATTATTCTATTTTAAGCGTCACTGGAAAAAAGATATCTCTTTCATTAAAAGAGATATCTCTTAAGTTCATAAAGATATCTCTTTTTAAAAATCTAAAGAGATATCTCTCTAACTAAGAAAGATATCTCTTTTTACCTTGTTAAAGAGATATCTCTCTAACTTAAAGAGATATATCTCTAGCTTATAAAGATATCTAAGTAAAATAGATATCTCTCTTACAAATATAGATATCTCTTTTGTTTAAAGAGATACCTCTTTAAGGTATAAAGATATCTCTTTTAGATAAAGAGATATCTCTATAAACTAAAGAGATATCTCTCTATGTTAGAGAGATATCTCTCTTATTGAAAGTAAATTTTTATTTCGAATAAATAGTAAAAGGGCTTGCCATAGAAATTTGTTTCCATTTAAACCGTTGTGCATAGATCTTAAATTGCATCTTCGGAATGGAAATAAATACTGACTTACATTGTTACCTATAAATAATGAATCTTTATAGAGAAGAACATATTTATTATGTAAATAAAATCAAAAGATAAAAGATTACGTACGTCACTTCCTCCTGAATCCGACACTGCGCATGTGAGAAAAGTGCAAAGCTACCAAGACGCTCTGGTACAAATTGCGATTGGCGGTATAGAATAAATTAAACGGGAGTGAGAGAATTTGTAATTTTATCAATGAACTGAAAATGAGTTCAGAAAAGAATTCGAAACGTCACAAAGATTTTATTGTGCAGCGTTAGACATGCAGCATTGCGCTATGTTTCTGACAGTAGTCAAAGAATAGATAAAATTTGTAAAAGCTTTCCTCTTCTTTATTGTCAGAAAACAGACAACAAACTGTTTTACTGCATAAAGATAAGATAAGATAATTTTTATTTAGAGTTAACTAGGAAAATCAACAAAAAACATTAGCACTGAAGAACTATTTTCCGACTACTGCATTTTACTTGAATAAAGAATAATATCATTTACATGCTGGTGTGATCATTTCCTGTTTAAAAATGTTATCTTACGTTATTTCAACTTTAGTCTTATTTCTAGAATGACCTTGTATTAACCCCGATATCTTACATAATCCTGGAATGGTCTTGTGATCCACCGTTATCATGCCCCAGTGTGAACTGCTCTAACCCCAGGACAGCTGTTTTATAAAAATAAAGAAGATATATACAATATTCGATAAAACTATAGTCATACATTTCAATGGTTCAAACGGTATCTTTACTTCTTTTGGGAATCAAATATCATCTAGCTAATTTAGTGAAGCATGGTCGAGGCTCGTGTGGGTATAATATAGCATACAAAACATAAAGCTCTATTTATGTCTCCATCACTAAAATATGTCAAGGTTAAGATTGTTCTTGACGGCACATTTTGCGAGGTCGTTATGCATATGTATATACATAGTTACCTTTCCCTGCCCTTTTGGCCAGCCAGTAGAGGGCAGCACTCCCCACTCCCCCACACCCCACCACTATGTACGGGTATGTCCTCCTTTCACTGTCCGCCATGTAAGACCGCTCTCTTTGATTATCTGGATCTTAGGGTCATTATTAAGGACATTTTACCTCGGTAAAACGACACCGAAAATTTATTTAGGTGTACATGTGCGTATTTCAAATGCGGATCTTTTATTCTCACGGGCGGGGGGTAGGGGTAGGATTGGACCACAGCGACTTAAGAAAAACAGAATCGGGTAATAAGCAAAAAAAAAAAAAGGCTTTGAGCCACATGCTTAAGTTATACGTCTATTTGATTAAATTAATAAACTATAAAATTGAGCTGTACTCAGTAATTAAAATTTTTTAAAATTATAATTATTGTATCACATAATGTAATATTATTATGCAATGGCAAGATAAGAAGTATGGGTAATGTTTATACGTTACAACAAATATGGTAGTGCTTCAACAAAAGTCAGCCTTCTGGTTTCTTTTAAGGAGACTCCATGTATAAAACCAACTGCACTTTCAAACAAGTTATTTTTGTTTCATCATGAATTGACACATGAATTTCATTAAATGCATATATTATGCATTAAATTAACAAAGACGTGCATTAAAAGTTTTTTTTTTAAAACTGAAACACCAACGGCTATGCGTCTACGTTTTCTAGTGTGTTGTCTCTCAGTTTGTAGACATGAATCAATGAATAGCGTTGTTTGAACAAAGTAACAATTTAGGAACTTCTTCTACATTAAATAGATTGAATATAAAATTCGACTTTTGCAGTTTTGCAATGAAAATTTACAGAATACGACACGATGCTTTAAGTCTGAAATCGGTTTAAATGAGGATACAATTTTTGTTATCATAAAATTCTTTTTTATATACCAAGCAAAACACTGTTCTATTTTAATTTTATGCAGTAAAAGGCGTAAATTATATAATATTCACACCAACTACAGCGTTATAAATTAACTTAATAAGATGCAGGAATAAATAGTAACCAGGAAAACTTATGACTTGTCGACTCTCCTCCGCGCCGCCATAAAAAGATAAATTACCAACTTATTCAAATGAGCTGCTGTTTCGTATATTTTTTGATTCAGTTTGCATTTCGGTCGTATCTTTGCAATATTTGCATTTGGTGAAAGGCTTTACTCAATTAGTGTTTAATCAATTGACATTCCTTTTCTTATGTGATAATTTTAGGCATTATTTTTCTTCAATAAAAAATGAGTCCTTGACGATAACGAACTCTGTGTATGAAATATGGCCTAGTAAAATTGCTGGTACACTAGTTAAGGTTAATATGAGAATACTATTCAAAACTCTGTGGACTTTAATGTATATAAAATATATAATAAATATAGGGAATATAATTTTTCAGATGTAATTAATTTAAACCTGTAAATTAACTTTTGAGATACTCGATGATATATCTGCACTGAAATTAAAGCATTGAAACATTTGTATAAACGTTATAATATTTTATAATCAGCAACTAAATTGATTACAAATTAACATACAATCTATCAATATAAATCAAATCCAGATGGGCTTTAAGATTTTTAATTTTGAAATATGATTGATTTTTGCGTTTGTGTGTACCTATATATTATCGGTCCCAGGCCGCCGCAGGTAGACAAAATATTCGTCATAGTAATTAGTGCATAAATTAAGTTCCCTCGATTCCGTTCTAAAGACTGGCACGAATGTGAAATAGAGAGCTCTAATACCTTAGTGGGAATTAATCACAGAATTCTAGTGAAAAAGGTTAGCCAAAAAAATTGAACCATAAATTTCTTGTGGATCCTTAATATGTCCAGTATCTGAATCCAGATTCGACAGGTGTCTTGAGGTATTTTGTTTTTGCTTCATTGTTTATTTACGTTTTGAGGATAATTCAGTGAAAATTTGAAGTAAGAATTGGCTGTCATAATGTTTTACTTGTAGAAATATTCGCTTAAAAATTGAATTCTATGTATGATATTGTGATAAATTATATACACCAAAGACTTCCTGAGAATGAAGGGGTCGTAAACTTAATTATCAGGTTATAACATTAATAGGTCTCAGAAGACATACATTTAAGAGCTTTTGTTTGTATTTCTATAAAGTAGGAAGAAATACCGTTAATGATCATACTTTTTGCTTGTCTTGTATATATCTATAAGAATGATATGGATAATTTAGACTCGTCAATTCTGCTTAAGAAAAAAATACAGTTTAAGCTTATTATGTCAATGATTGTTTGGTAAAAATTTAAGGAACGCATGATTTTTACGTAAGAATCAATTAGGAAAACACGAAAACAACTTAAGCGTTGTAATATGAATTATGGCTTATTTGTTTTACACCAAATCCCCTAAGGCGGTATAGTAGCATCGGTAAAGGAAATAATCAGAAACATGGAAAGAATAATAAATGTCGTAAAAGGATTTTAAATTTTACGAAAATGGCCTCTCTTAACTTCCTGTGGTTGTATATTTTAGTAAAATAAATCAGGAATGTTTCAAATCTGACGTGACCACTTGTTTTTGGGGGCAGTCTCCATTTATATGTAACTGAGATGATAAATAATTGAGATATGTCCATTCGTTTTTAAGAAATATATTGGTCAATCACAATTAAAAAATAAACTTGCATCAAAGCTACCATCAACAACGACATTAGTTTACATTTCTGTAACAGTGGGATGTTCTTTGAAAAATGTCTTTTTTTAAAAAAAGTGCACCTCTTTCACTTTTGAAAAGGATAGAAATTGTTCAGATAAATACAACTAGGAAAGACTATTATTTGTATAACATTCTTGTCATTAAATATTATCATTATATTTAAGTTTTTTCTACAGAATTCCTTAACAATGAAGAAATCCAGCGTGTTTGTACTTTCCTTGGTGTTTTTGGTCAATGTTTTTAGACGACTACATTCGTACGAGTGTCCCGAGTACATGCGCCGCCGATACGACTTTATTGTAGGTAATGTTTATAGTCAAATCAGCCCGTTAACGCGGACACCAATATTACCTTGGGAATTCTGGTCAATGTAACATTTTATGAATGTATAACAGAATATATTAATGTTGGTCGTAACTAATGGCACAGTAATACGTCAGGTGTTTAACTGGTTCCCCTGGTCATGACCTCGTCTGACCTGTATTTTGCCAGATAATGTTTGGAATCAGTTCCCTTTCTATACTTGTTATTGTCTCAAAGAACTGTTTTCCTTTCTTTTGCTATTTATTTATTTTTGCAACAAATACAGTCATTCGAGTAAAATCTGGAAAAATAAAAAGCAAATTTAAAGAACTTTATCAAATCGTGAAATGCTTCGTGCATTACTTTGATTTGTTTTAATTTTTACAAAGCGCACATATATTAAACACCAGTGTCATAATATACCTTTCCCCAAGTCATTTCTTACTTTCGTTACAGTCGGATCTGGATCTGCCGGCACCGTTCTCGCCGCGCGACTCTCGGAAAATCCGGACCACCGCGTTCTCCTGGTGGAGGCCGGGGAGTCTGACAGGGAGAGGAAGGAAACTCCTTATATGGACATCCCAGCTCTCTACCCCCTGCTGGTCAATTCTAGTGTGGACTGGGGTTATTACAGCGTACCACAGAAACACGCGGGATATGCCTACAATAACAGGGTATTTAAGTTTTCTTACCTCCTCTTAATAAACATATTAACAATAAGTAATATGCAAAACCTTCATCATCGGGGGAAAACAATAATGTAGAGAAAATAAAGGCAGGGCATTTTTTTGAAAATCATAGATAAGAATACGTGATTTGAAATTATTTGAAAGGGCAGGGCTTCTGTAAGGGGGTAATTTAAGATATAAAAGGCTAGGAGAAACTGTTTATGATCATTCTTATTTAGATAAGAGGCTGAATATTTTTAGCAATTTCCTCTCCCTCAAGGAAAAGTAAGTGGAGGGACATTCAGTATCAACAAAATGATTTATCAGCGAGGAAGTCGTCATATCTATGATTATTGGGCATCATCCGGGGCTTCAGGCTGGAGCTTCCGGGAAATTCTGAAGTACTTCCGGCGGTCCGAGGATATCGCGGTTCCTGAGCTAGCTAGATCAAGTATGAAATTATTTGATAAGGAAATATCACACATTTAACAAACAGAGAAGTGTGTGAGAGAAAAATAGAGAAAGACAGACAGACAGCTAGACAGACAGACAGATAGTTGCAGACATAGAGAGAAAGAATGAGCGCGGAGAGAGAGAGAAAAGAAAGAAACGGTGGTTTATTGTGTAATCTACTTTAGTTGACAATTCTCAATGGTTTCCGAGTTTAAATAAAATAGACACTTTTAAAAAGATCGATCAAGTTATGAAATATTATTTTAATTTATGATGACATCAGAGAAGTGAAAAGCATACAAAACTTGGCTAATTAGTTCAAATCATGAGGGTATTGAACTTAGATGTAACCCTAGCACATTATTTTGACATTTCTTACAAAATTGACAAAGGGGACACATTTAAGTCATTGTTTTACAATCTATGTTAAAATTGTTTGATCCCGAGCCCCCTCATTGAACGAGAAACTTTGATTCAGGCAAAATAAATCGGACATCCATCATACAACATCAATCAGTTTCTTACCTTTAAAACTTATTTTGTCTTTGACTTTTTGTCGTAAATTTATAAATTATAAATAATATATCTACTAAAATTAGAATTCAAGATAAGCCCTTGAGGTTTCTAACAATGCTTGCATTCACGTAAATGTATCATATGGCTTTGTAAATTCTTTACATCTCATACAACGACACAGTCCACACAAGAAAATGGCCATGAAAACACGCTTTCAAAATATTCAGCAAAGAAATCCAGTGCTTTAAAATGAATTTCGAAAAAAAAATTATGAATTACGCATTAATTAAATTCTGACACCGTGTTGTTGCATTTTCTAAAACATGGCGTAAAATATATTTATTGCTAGCGCTATAACGCTGAAACTAGATTTAATCAAAGTACTCAGAAGTACAGAGAGCCGGGCTCATTTACAGAGTAGAATGGATTTCTTACATTAATCACGTTTATATTCTGATGAAAAAATTATTTCAAAACTATCAACATAAATGATAAGACACTGACAGTGAGTTTTTCAATCCTAATACCACGGTCCGACTTGTCAGAATCAGATTTAATCTGGTACCGCAGCTGAATGTAAACAAACAGGCCAGTCTGGTTCCCTCTCCTGCTTTACCTCGTATGTGTAGAGAACTATTTTATCAAAAATCCTTACGCTAATGAACTATGTTCTTTGACTTATGAACTTTTCAAAGTCATTACTACTAATGTTTATTTTATATAGATAAAACTTCGTTTTATTTTTGTTGCTTTATTTAGCGTTTGTATTATCTCAAAAGCGGTTGAGAGTAAGAACTATATTTTTGCACGTAACTTTAAAATGGCGACTATGGGGTCAACATCCTGCCTTGAACAGGATCACATAAGCCGGCAATTGCTCTTTGAGCAATAAGCCCGGCTAAAAATCTTCCGTAAGAATAAATTTTAAGTTTTAATTTATATGCATAATTAACAATGTAGACTATTTTAAAAATACAGTGTAATTCTGTAACTCTTTCGAACATACAAGTTACTCATAAAAAATAATTTCATAAAATTAAATGTATGGTCCTTTGTGATAATACATGTAAATCATGTATATATTTGTACGAATATATAAGTATTATAATAAGAACATTAATCAAATCTTTTTTTTCTACTTTCTTTCTTACTTTTATACTTTCCTTCTTATTTTTATACTTGTCATACGGCAAACAAATGTTTAAAGCTTTTAAATTATTTGATATCAAGTATTTTTTGTATTTTTTTGTAACCAGGGGGTATGTTTTCAAAATCATTACCATAATGATCATAATCTTTTTCTTCTCGACATCCATAGAAAACTTTTTTTAAAATGAAATTTTGTAGCATACCACGAGAGATGTGGAAACCTTCGTGTTTCCCGATTACCCCCAAGTCCCTTCCTTAACACTTATCTGAATGCCGCCAACACCATAGGATACAAAACCATCAACTGCAACGAGGGAGCAGATATTGGTATAATTTGTTTTTTTTTTTAAGCAACATAGTTGATAATTCAATTGCAAATATCTTTTTAATATGAAACGTTCGTTTTTTTCTTAAGAGGAGGTTGGGGGATCAATATCCATGCTAACTTATGATTAAAAAGATACCCGAAACTGAATTTTTAAAAAAAAATCATTGCTTTTGAATGCTTCTTGTTGTTTAGGTGTATGCAGGATACACACGAACATTAAGTTTGGTGAGCGATGGAATACATTGAAGGGATTCATCAGACCTGCTCTGGGGAGAAGGAATCTTGATATGGTCACAGATGCTCATGTCTCAAAGGTATGTAGTCTCCAGTATACCAGTCTGTCTTCACGCTCAATATTGATATTCAAGAGCGTGGTTCAATAAGTAATGCAAAATCCTGTCTAAAAATACTGTAAGAGAAAAACAAAAAGCAGCTTCTTTATAATTTTAATCCATGAAATAAATGGAGAAAAACGAACAGTGTTCAAGTTCAAAAGTCCATTTAACAATACAAAATAGGAGCAGAGCAAACAAGACCTCCAAAACATCCGATTTGTGATCAGGTGTCATGGAGGAGTGCATCCCCTGCCGACCGGTCACACCTGCTGTGTGCTCCTTGTCATGATTGGGAAAGTACAGAAAAATCCGTCGACAATTTAGTGTGTAAATAATGACCTAACAATAGTAAGTTTGAAAAACGTCAATCAGCATTTGACTTAAGGATAAATTGTATTTGCTTACAAGTCTTCACACATGCTTAAAGTCTTTGTACCTATGATCAGAACACCTCAGCATACTCTTTTTTATGGATGTTCAAAAGACACTGATGAATAATAAAATCTCCAAAACAGTCTTTCAATGATTGTTTTCTTGAAAAGTGTTGAATGTGCAGCCTAAAGAGTTCTCATAGTGACTGAGATCTTGCAAATATAAAGGATGGGTAAGCCCTGAAAACGTTTCTTTCTTCAAAAGTTCCGTCACATCTAAATATTTATTTTTTACACTGAATTGTTAACGATTTTTTTTTTATTTTTCCAATATTTACATGTGCAAGGAGCACACTGTGTGAATGACCGGTCGGCAGGTATTGTTCACTCCTAATCGGCACCTGATCCCACCTGTGATGTTTTTGGTGTCCGTGTTTGCTCTGCTCTCTTTTTGACAGTTTTTGTAATGTTTGAATGGACTTCAGCTTTAATACTGTTCCTTGTCTCCATATTTCATCGTAGCAACATAGACAGGCACATTCAAAATTAACGAGAGGACCGTTGTTAGATTTAATCATAAAAAAACTGTTGAACCTTCATCAATAGAACTTTTTACATAAAAACTACGTACCATCGGTCGTCCTTATTTCTCAAGTATGTTTGTGTATAAATGGATCATTTCACTTTAGATAAAACCCGTATTGGGCATGTCTGAACTCTCCTTCTCTTAAAAGCTTTCTCTCTCATTCACTTTTTTTTTTAATTTTAATTCCTTTATGGCAATGACGATGCTCATATTTTGACACGAATCACCCACCTTTTTCTCTTCTTTTGTATTACAATTAATATTTATATTTGAGAAGACTATTGGCACATATAACCCATGTTTTCTCTTTGTCATCTGTAAGATAGTATGGCATACACCTTATATAAAAATAGTTTTTAATTCATATTTTCGTTGTTTGAACGTTAACGTTTTTAACTGTGTTGATGAAATGTTAATCTTGGAAACGTCTTTGACCAAGCATGCCATTAAAGAAGCACAATTCTAAGTAAAAGTAACAATGCATACTTTTAAGGTGATCTTTTTTTTTTTGCAAGGTAAGTAGGAAAATACATGTCATGCGGTTTTCGGTGTTTGGGAGTTCTTATGCAGAACATTCCCGACTGCAAATTAATAAAGAAAACCGGTTAGGATCTACTCTCTGTAGTATCGTGAAGTAGTATTTTCCTTTATAAAACTGGGTTTTATTTTTTATGATTTATTCCCCTTATATTTCTATGTTGCACATTGGTTTTTATTGCTTCTTATTTGAATAACCTTCTGAAAATATGGCTGAAATGCATATAAAAGATATTCTGTATTCATGAGGTCTGTCTTTTTATTATTGATGAATCAAGGCTTTGTTAGTATTACATACACAATGTTAAAATCTATTGTGACAGAAACATGTTAAATCAATTTCAGGATATTCACCTAATTGTTTAAACCACAGGAACTTTAATTAAGAAGAGCTTTGAATAATGTGAAATGTACTTATTACAAGGGTCGTTCAATAAGTAATGCAAAATGCTATCTCAGTTTTTTAATATATATATTTAATCCTTCAAGGCATTCTATGTTCATTTTTACTAATGTCAAGTCTTTTTATCAATCAGTATGCCTCACTATACTCTTTTTAAGGGATACCTAAAAGACACTGAGAAATAGCCCTCTCCAAGACGTATCTAAAATTGTAAATTCTTCTTTGGTTATTTTCTTGAGGTTTTGGAGTAAAATAAAATATGAGAGAGATCTATGAATATGGTGAAAAGTTTAATTATAAGTTCTGTAAACGTTTCCCTTTTAACAAAGTCTCTTAATTCTAAGCTCATATACAGTAGTATTATCAGATACTAGAGTAGAAGAATAACAGGGGATAGGGGGTTATTAGACCTCACTCACAGAAATTACCTCAAAGCAGTTTTGACCGAAAATCTTACATTGATGTCCTTTTTCTGTATTGTATATTCGGATATGTTGACTAAGAAGAAAACATACTTGTATTTGAGAGATTATTGGAACTCTGAATTCTTTTTCTAAACAAGTCAATAGCCTTTTCTCGGATTCTCTCGGTTACGTAGTTCTTCCCTTAGGCAATTGAAAGTGCGTCAATGTTTTAACACCCATCACTAAAATTTATCATGCCTTCTGTTTAAATATTGTTTATTTTTTTAGTATTCATGTTCCAATAACCACATAGAACGTATCAGTGAGGATATATTTTACCCACCACCAGATTTATAAATATTTCCTTTAAATTTTTACACACACCGTTAGCTACTCCTTTTAGCAGAAACCCTTTTTAAACAGTTTGTAGATCAGAGCATGCTCAGTTTGAATTTGAATATTTTTGCTAATAATGTAAAAAAAAAAAACAAAAACTTGGCTTTCGGTGATCATAACATCTGAAAAAAAACTTCTTAATTGTGAAAAAATTGAATTATTATAAATTAGTTATGATATACAGAAAGCTTCATCATTTATTTAACGACTTTTGAAGACTTAAGAAATTATATTTAATAACAAAATTCAAAAATTGTAGGCTTATAATTCCAAATTGAAACTGATGTCAGACCATTAAGAAAATGTATTTTTTTTATTTAAAAAAGGGTGATTAATTCCATAAGTAATGAAGTCTACATTTTCCTTTTCATTCATTATGTCAATACTTTAAAATTTGGGAATCTTCTATGATTGTCCACCGCAGAGGTTGACGCGCTTCATAAGAACCTCATATACCATTATTTGGTCTGTGAGTATTTATGAGTATCTATTTATACATATATCACATTTTACAGGTATTGATTTCTGACAGAAGAGCTAAAGGAATAGAGTTCATCCACCGAGGAATTTCCTTCAGTGTACAGACAGATAAGGAAGTGATCCTAGCGGCCGGAACTTATGGATCACCGGCAATACTGATCCGTTCCGGTATCGGATCCACTTCAGTGATCAATATATCTTCTTTTGGAAGAAACTTCAGGTTTTATATAGATGAGTTACAATCTCTATATAAAAGTCTCCCTAAACTGAAATAGTTCTTTTTTATAGGAACAATTAACACTTTTTTAATGGAAATCATTTGCAAAACGTAAAAAAAGTTGAAGGTTTCGCTATAAACATGTTTGGTAAATCAACCGTGGGGAAAATATTCATTGAACTTTATAAAGTCATACACGTAAAAATAAAAAGTAATTATAGGATGAAATGTGACCAAATAATAGAAAAAAGAGCCTTAAAACATATACGAAGAACAAAATATGATGTTTCATTTTGGTTGGCAATTGTTGCCGGTTACCCCCTTGCTTGTGTTTAAATCTGTAAAAAAAAAGCACATTTCCTCATAACTAATGATCAATTTTATAAGATGTTGGTGTGCGTTTTCCCATTTGAAAAAATTCCTTTAAATAGAGCGTTGCTATGGAAATAAGCAGAAAATATATGCTGAAAAACCCGAAAAATATTTTCATTCCTTGTATAAAATGCCGAAAATTTTTATGATTGATATTTATTAACAGCCTGTTTAAATTTTGTCACAGCAGGTGTGGCACACAGGGTTTAATATTGATATAAAGTTCACAAAATCCATCTTCCCTGCTCAAAGGCCGTAAGTGCCAAGCTGAATCCTTTAATTTGTTTCATAGGCCTAAATTTGCAGCCCTTCACCAAAGGCAATGGTGACGTCTCCATATCAGTGAAATATTCTGGAGAGGGACGTTAAACAGTATACAATCAATCAATCAATCTTAAAGCTACCAAACCGTTTGACTACATGTATAATAGTAATTTCTAGAGTTTGTTTGCTCTTTCTATTTTTATTAAGCCACAGTCAAGCTTTAAAGTGGCTGAAAATCTATATAAAAAAAATATCGGTATTGAGAAATTGGTCACTAATCCAGGTTATTAGCAGGATAATGATTTAATGATTCTTTTCTTGTTCTTTTTCACTCATGTCGATTTATCTCCCTTTATTTGCTGTTTCTGGTTAACAGGCATACCCAGTACATTTTTATTAAGTTTAACTCTATGTCAAAAGCATTTTGGCACAGTGTCTTGTGAATTACATATTAAAAACATAAGATAGTTGAATGCCCCATATTGGTTAACAGCCGTTTGACTCTTACACTTGTTACAGACAACTTCCTGTGTTTTACAGTTAGAAGCACTCTGTAAACAGCCTGTCTCAATCCTTGTAAAATATGATATATTTCCTCTTTATTAAAGAGAAAATAATTAATTAACAATAAAGAATGATTTTGGTACAGTTTTCATTCAATACAGATTTTAAAAAAAAATGTTGAACATTAAAGTGATGACAGTTTCCGTACATAAAATGACTGTAAAGATAAAAACAGAACAATGAACATTGTCGTAAATCTTGTAAGCAATATATAATTTGAACAGTGCACCCTTTTAAACACCGGGGATAGGATTAAATGCATATAAGAGTGATAAGCATGCATCCCCTGATGAACAATTAGCTACCAGAGGAAAATTTGTAAGAAAATGATACATCCTTTTCCATGGTTATATTCAATATAATTTATTAAAATTAGATGTTCCAAACTACCACTTCTTAAACGAGAAGCGGTAAAGGATTCGGAACATCTAACTTTAATTAGATTGCGTTATATTAAAATTCCCACCTCTGATGTTTTGGAGGTCCGTGTTTGCTCTGTTCCTATTCTGTATTGTTTTATGGACTTTTGATCTTGAATAATGTTCGTTATCTCCATATGTTTCATGTTTCTGAAACCAAATAGATTGATTTTTCATACAGTGAATATGATGGTCTTCATTTTAATAATTTTGTTGTTCCAAGCCGATATGCCGTGTTTGTTCTTAAAAAAGATAATTTTAGACATAATGATCATAAATCTAAAACTTAATATTTAAGTAGGATAAGTAGATAAAGCTAAATAAAATCATAATAATGAGTAAAAATGCAATCACAACAATGCTTAAACACCTTAGCATGAACATGATCAGCATAATGCATTCGTATGCTTGAGAATATATTAAGAATTGAATTTAATATTGGTAAGAATGAAGTTAATGTTTATGTTGAATCCGAGATGTGGAAATTTAAAGTACTTTTGATTTTAAAAAAAATGAAATATTTGAAAATTCTTACGTGCAATTAATACATGTATTAAATATCTCGAAATTTCATTCGTATCATCATACTTTAAATTTATATATCATTCGTAATGTACCTAGAATGTCAAACGTGCTTCTCTTAAATAATAATAAATACATGCATTTATAGCAATGTATTTATATTCCTAATACTTAATTTGAATTAAATGCCACTTAATTTCATTCTTTAAAGTACATTTAATGATGATGATTTTGTTTTCTGCTATAATATATTATGCATACAGATTGTCTAGCTTAAGTAGTTCTTTCATATTTTGTTTGTATTTTTTTCATTTTTGAGTTTTCGTGGATTTTTCATGTGTTCCGATGCGCCTTTTATTATTAGACAAATTTATTTAACAACTTATACGTACATGTAAAAAGACTAAAACATTTGTTTCGGTCTTTAATTCAACATTTTAAAATACCGACATGAAATATATGGAGATAACGAACAGTATTCAAGCTCAAAAGTCAAATAAACAATACAAAACAGGAGCAAAGCAAATATGGACCTCTGGAACATCAGATGTGGGTTCAGGTGCCATATCGAGGAGGCGTAAGAAACCCCTGTCGACGGTCAAACCCGGCGTGTGCTCTTTGTCATGATCGGGAAATGACGGGAAAATCCGTAATCAATTCAGTGTGTAAATAATGGACTTACAATTAGTATGAAAAAACGTCAGTCAGCCTTTGACTTAATGATAAATTGTGTTTGCTTACAAGGTCATTGTATCGACCAAAGGACTAACGAAAGGATGACTTTAAACAAGACGGCTGATATTCTTGTTTCATTGACTTGTTTGTCAATAATTTACCCCCTTTTAGAAATTGGACATGCGTAGAACAAGCTCCTGCGAATCGAATCAATAAAGAGATATATATGCTCTCTATGCAGGTGATGAAGGTATATTGCTGCAAAGAAAGGAAAGGTGACGATTGAAAAGTTTAACTAATCACGTTTATCATAGAGCTTGGTTGTTATATTACCATTAACCTCTTTTTCAAGTAAGATATCTAAATATGAAACAGATGTGCCAGACTCTGTTGTATCTTTTATCTCAAGCTCAACGGGATATATCATAAGATTTGAAATAACCATAATAATGATCTATTATTAATTAGCTATAATTACTTCCAATCGTATGTCGATTCTATATAGCAAGATGAAATTGAAATAAAAGAAACAATAGAGTCGGCCATTTGATGTTAACATTTGCCAAATTACTTGAATCTAAGAGCATGTACCGAGTAATATCATTTTTAAACCGAGACAGACTATTTACAACTAAGCTAAAATTACTAGGATTTCAACATTTCAAGCATTTCTTAAATATTATTATCGTCGTTTAAATGACCAGTTTTGCAAATATAATCTATCTTCAGGTTCAATTTTATATCAGTTCTTATGCCTTTGTTTTTGTACTAATTTCGACTACGAAATTTCACGTCTACCTGTTCAATACATAGAGCTCTTAGCGAGTGGGATCGATCTATAGGAAATGCATACTCTTCCCACTCTTCTGATCTCACCTCTGAAATTCATTTCCAGGGTTCCCTGTTTATTCACTCTTCACAGATTTAAATATATTGTTTTTGGAATTTTTTAGATCAACCCTTGCACATTATCTACTCCTTTATTGACTCAATATAACACAAGTTTTGAAATCTATTAAACAAACAACATAGTGTGTTTGGTTTCTACGTGTCTGAGTTCTTATTATTGAAAATATGAATGCAGTACAATTCAGGGCTGAAGACCAAAATTTTTATCCGTTTCTAATATCTTGCCTACCAGATAATTTTGATAAGTTTTAAGATTTTTCAAATAAAAAAATGTTATCAAATTATTTATTTATTTTTTAAAAAATAGAAATAAAATTGAAACAAGTCAAAAATATATTTTGTTGAAGTTGTAAATTCTGTTGTTAAAGAGATCCCTGATTCTTTACAACATTTAATGTAAAACCAAAACAGCGATCACATCGAAGGATTTAGGGTGAACAATAGACATGAAGACAGTTTTCAGTTGAGAATTGAGATATAGGACACCATATGAAGTGCATGTAAAATCACTCTTATTCTCATTATTTCCACTGAAGAAAATCCTTGCTGAAAACATTTTCTTTGGTAAAAAATGTGATGGACACAAATTATTTTATTTTGTTTAATTTGTTTGAAGATATATAAATTTTAATTCATAATTAAACTCAAGCCATCGAAACAAACTTTACATTAAATGTATTTCTAAATATTTTAAATTCGTTGCTTGTTTTCAATGAACTCCTTTAAAGTTACTAAATATATGTATAAGTATTTGTAAGCCAAGGATGGCCCGCCTACCTCCCAGCGAAGCAGACCGAAAACCCTTGTATGGCTCTAGAAGATTATGATTTGTTGTGAAGGAATAAAGGAAGATAAATCTGACAAGTAGAACCTTTATAATATTAGATTCGGAAATTTCCTTTCATTAGAACAACTTGTTATCTTTTTATCTATTAATATACAATTCTTGTCCTTTTAAAAAATGTTTTCTAAACTATTCACATGGATTGTTTCGGGAAAAATTTTTCTGATGAAGTTCTTAATTTGATAAACATATACCTAACGTTTGACTTCGCATGATCCAACTTCTTGTTGTCTACATACAGACGCACGTTAAAAGCAACAACAAGCTAGCATTGTCAGACAGGGGGCTGTACTGATTAACAACTGTGTACATGTATATGTTTAATTTCTATGTTGATGAGCTGTTTTCTTCGAAGAAATATAAAAAAGTTAAAAAGTAACATATAAGAATGTTATGTCCATAAGGGTGCATGAAATTTTAATGTCGATCATTACGTAACAAATCTTTTAAAATATGCAATCTTAAAAAAAGCAAACAAACATTAAGTCATTGTTTGAATTAAGATGAATGCACTTTGTCATTTTTAGCAGTTCATTGAAAATGTAATCGTCAGTTCTTTTGTTCACATCTAACGAGTATTAATTAAGGATTGACATACAGTGTCTAGTATTATTGATTTTGTCATAGAATGTTTTTTGGGTAAATTTTGATAGAGATATAATATATGGTGGATATGATATTTTCTATATATTTTTTTCCTAATGGATGCTTGCTTTTGAGAAATATTTGTATCCATGAAGGCCAGTTATTTTAAATAAAATTACATTTTCCCCTTTTTCTGCGTCGTATGTATCGGAAAATGGTTAATGTGCTCCATTTCTCAATATTCAATTAACGATTGTCGATTATGCCCTAAACCAGAAGAACAAAAGGCAGTTATAGAAGATTAACCGATACTGTAATCTCCTTATATCAGTTAAAGATAGTTTCGATTGTGGCTTACTCGAGTCAAACAGAAGGCCGTTCTGTAAAGCTAAACTAGCTGCTTTTGTCAGCTCATTATTAGTCTGTCTCTACCAAATGTCTTCACATCAGCTGTTGATTCCAAAAGCGGTAATGTCATACATTTATTTTTAGAACATTGTCAACTGCAGTTACGAATTTTGGAGTATGGCAAAATGTTAAAATCAATTCATATCGAAAAACAAGTCTTGTAAAGATGAATGAGGAATTAAAGGGAAACGCCGAATTTTGCATCACCATGTATTAGTAATATTTTTGCTAGAGTAATAACATATCAATGTACATCTAGGATCTAGTATAAGATAATAAAAATCTAACAAGCTTTTTTCTTTACTCATTACGAACAGGAGTTACGGAACAACTCCAGTAGTACTGTGAAACAGCGAATAAGAAAAGGTTTAATTAAGTTTAGTCACTTAAAAATACTTCAAAGAACTTTTAGAAAATATAACATTACAAAATTTACCAAATCAATAATATAAAAATATGATTTTTCAATACTTAAAACAACAATACTCAAAATCATTGAAAGACTTGCAATTGTCGTTTTAACTGCTTTTTAAATATAAACGGAACTTTAAGAATCGATCAAAAATTTCATTATCACATGTCACATATCAAATTGTTTGCAAGTTCATTGAAGGGAGCATGTTGCTATATCAAATGAAGATGTTATCTTATCAAGGAACATCGTTCTATGGATGCCGAATTACTTAATTAAAGTTGTTTAATTGGGACTTAAACAACTAAAGATTGGAATCCAAAGACAAATATCGGGCAACAAAAAGGCTTAAAGTAGGGAATTTCGTTAAAGCTTCCAATCAAAATACTAGAATAAGCATTTTTATACTTTAAAAACTTAAGCTGTTCCCTCTACGATTCCTGTAATGCTTTTTCACATTCAGTCTTTTGTTATGTATAAAGGTATGCATGATATATAGAGAAAACGAATATTCAAGCTCAAAGCTCCTTTCAAACAAAAAGTCAGAGCAAGCTAAAATATCAAAGGTGGAATCATGTAACCATGGAAGGGTATAAAATATTAAAATCCCTTCGGGAATGTTTTAGAGAAATAATAAAATAAATTCCAATAAAGCTTTTGTTTCCTCGATAAACTGTGAATTAGGGTGTCTTTTGTGTTACAGGTACCACCCATCTCTTTGGTACCAGTCGGGGAATCTCTTCAAGACCATCCTACGGTCAGTCTTAGAGTTCTTGTTCAGCAACCAACCATCAAGCCACACGCTATAGCTGATCAGGTGAAGAACAACCAGTATCTGTTTCAGAGAACAGGTAACGAGTAATCACATTTTGTCACTAATTCTCATGATCTCAGTGTTCATAAAATCTTTCTGTATTTAAATTTAAACCTTTGTAAATATGTCTTATAATTTAAATACAAAATTCTTCTGTTGCAGGGGACTCTTGATATGTCTATTTAAGGAAATAATCTTCCTTTTTTGTCAAATTTAATAATATATATACTATATATACAATATGATAATTTCAGGAATGCTAGCAGAACTTCGTGGAACTGAGGCTCTTTTGACCTTCCAATCTGACCCGACCTCTATCATCGCTTATCCCGACCTTCAGATAACCTTTACAAGTTCCCTAGGTGACCATGACCCAATGATTGACTATGTAGGAAATAAAAATGTCTCTGTAAGTAAAATCAATCTTAATCCTATGGTTATTAAGTAAGAACCAAGTATAAATATCAGCTTTCCATTCAACCAATAATTATTACAAGAAATAAAGATCAAAACTCAATAAAATCTTAAATTTTTCTCAAATTCTCCATTAATTTACAGTTTATAAAATCTTGGTACTCCTTGGCGAGGGGCAGAGATGGAATAACCCTCAACATCAAACTGTTGCACCCTTCCAGTAGGGGGACTTTAACATTGAATAGTTTGGACCCCAAGGTTCCCCCCGTCATCGACCCGGCCTATTTATCATCTCCTGGTGATATCAGAGTGTTAATAAAAGGTATAACTAATCGCAGTTGACAATCTTTTATTCCCCTAGGAGAATTATCTGCGATTTTTTTTATCTTCTCATACTTGCCAATATTCTTCGCAGCGATCTATTAAATAATGTTCAAATCTTTTTATATAGAATGTTTATTCTTTCAAGAAAAGACAAACGCGGAAAATAGTTTGTTTATAGTAGTTTTTCCAAAAGAATTGGATAAAAAGATTGGTTTTGTTTTCTCTTGCCTGTACAGTGGTTTTGTTTACTTACAGGAATCAGGAAAGCCCAGGCACTGATACAAACGCCCGAGTTTCAGGAAATGAAAGCTTCTTTAGGTCCTTCGTTTTCGGGTTGTCTACATCATGCACGTAACTCTGATGCCTACTGGGATTGTTATATACGTCACTTCATGGAACCAGGACACAACGCTGTCTCAACAAATAAAATGGGTTCCGTCAACGACGGTTCAACAGTTGTTGGTCCAGATTTAAAGTATGTTAGTTAAAGGTTTTAATCTTCTGATGTCTGTTATATGGTATTTCAAACATTATTTTAATTTAAATTACTAAGTTTTTAAACATGTGTAACATTTGCAAGTATTCTTGTAAAATTATTTTTGTTAATTATATGTTATACTTGTCTGAGCAATCCTTCTTGGCATTTTCACATTCTGTAAATGGAAATGAAATAAACAAAGGGTTGTGATTCCTTTTCACTCCCGAAAGAAACAATGCATGCAATTACAATAAGCAAAAACCAACTCTGAATTTCATGAAGCCTTTTGGCAATTTGATTTCGACTTAGATACGTTGATGTAATGTATTTAAGTGTTTGAATTTTGACATTTGATCAACACTTCTTGGGATTTCTATACACAGTTCTTTGAGTCTATGTTGCTTAAAATGTATTCACTGTAACACTTTGTATATTTAAAAGTGCATGCCACAAAGAAATTTAACTTTAATGTAAAATTCAATATTCATGGATTCTTTTCTAATTTTACAGAGTAAAGGGCGTAAGTGGTCTACGTGTTGCTGACGCATCCGTTATACCAGAAATAACAGACTATACAAACGCAGCGACGATCATGATAGCAGAGAAAGCTGCCGACCTGATCAAAAGTGATATTAACCAGCCACTGTAGAATCAAAAGTGATATCAATTAGTACTAGTTAGTGACAACAAAAGGGGAAGGATAGAATGAAATTACTTAAACATACTATGTAGATAAATCACATGTGTTTTCTAGTGCATTTTAACTTTCATTCAATCTCATGTTTACATTTCTGCTCTATTATTTGTACTCATACTTTAATCTTACAAAATTCAAAATTTAAAAAGGGATATAATATGTAATATTAATCTTATTCAGTTATAGGTTTGTAAGTATTTCACATGTATGTATTTTTATAATCAAATACAGTTACTGTGTAACTAAGTATTGAGTCTCAAATTATCATCGTAGGTGTATCTTCTCATGGACTTTCCCTTTTTCAAAATTTCAAATGAGACTAATATGCTTTTTAAAAAAAATTTACGGTATATGAGTGACACAGTTTTGTGAAATTGTGAAATACATTTTGTACTATGATTCAAGCCATGTATACAAATCATTGAATCATGAAAAAATTGATAATCTTTTGTTTAGAATACATATTGAAATAAATTAAACATATGAACTTGAATAGACTAGTCTTTGTTTTAGTATCAGTATCGGCAGTGTTCACTGTAAAAAAATGTATATGCTTTAGAATTTATAGTATATAACTCAGATTTAAAGACACATGGGTGATTTATTTTAATGTGTAGTCAGTAAACTTTTTAATCTTTTCTCAGAACTCTTTGTACAGTCTGAACATAAGAATTATCCAACAAATTACTGTTGAGAATTAAAAGAAAGAGAGAGGAGAATGCGTATATGGAATGTGTCTGATATATTTATGTTGCTTCATTTGAAATTAAAGAACTTTGAATATTTCTGACTGTATTGTTGGTCCGTGATGCACTGTTGATCACAATTAGTTTTAGAAACTAAAGACATTGTCACGTCTTACCATGTAGTTGCTTGAGAATAATCATGTTATAAAATCTCATAATTTAATTTTGACGTGCAGTTGAAATTTGTATTACGAATACTGCTTGATAAGAAGAAGGAATGAAACATATTGAGATAACAAACTGTATTCAAGATCAAAGGTCCATAAAACAATGCATAATAAAAGCAGAGCAAACACGGATCCCCAAAACATCAGAGGTCGGATCGGGTGCCATGGAGGAATGAGCATCCTCTGCCGAACGGTCACACTTGCTGTGTTCTACTTGTCATGATCGGGAAATAACTGAAAAATCCTTCGTCAATTCAGTGTATAAATACTTATGAAAATATATTCCCAGAGGTCTGTGTTTTTGCACACTATTTACAGATTTGTGTTTTTGATAGAGATCAGTCATTGATCCTTATTCTACAATTAATATGCGAAACGTCAGTCAGCATTTAACTCAATGATAAACTGTATTCGCTGACAATGTTATTGTATCAAACTTTCGAAACGAATGCTTAAAACGAGAACATTGCTTCTCTTGTTTATCAAATTGTTTGTTAATACATTGCCTCGTTTTAGAAACTGTACTTACGTAGAGCATGTTCTGGCGTATTGAAGCAACTGAGAGATATAAAAAAAATGTATGCAGGTGATGAAGGTACATTGCTGCATAAGTAATGTTTTGGAAGTTTACGATTGAAGAGTTGAATTCATCGCGTTTATCGTAATGCTTTGTTTTTAGACAACCATTAACGTCTTTTTCTTGTAAAATTTCCAACTATGAAATAGATGTGTCAGTCTATGTGGTATCTTTTATCTGAAGCTCGTCGGGATATAGCGTGTGGATGTATGAATGTAAATAGCTATTGATAATTGATAATACGTCGTTGATTTATTTAATTGTTGAATTGAAGGCTATTTAAAGTATTCATATGAATACAAACAATAATTTTACTTATAACGGGGCGAAATCGGTAAACATAGAAATTCCAACAGATTGTTTAGTCTTCAAAAATGACATATATTTTCCATTAGAAACTCAAACATTTTTTTTAAATATCAACTTCAAAATACTTAAGTGTACAATCAGAGTGTTTTTTAACAAAATAGTGTTGCAATGACCAATGAGAAGTAAAATAAATAGCTACAATTTTACTTGCAAAAAGCAGCTGGCTATGATGTCAAAAAGCCTGACTTTAACTGATAGTGGCGAATGTATATCAGTATTGAATGGTAGTGTATTTTGGTGTTATTGATGTTAGTAAAATTTTGTCACTTCAAATTTTTCGCAATGTTCCTTTGAATTTCGTGTATCTACGTCTGATTTGCACTACTTCTCGAATACATGTTGCACAGTACTCCAAATGCTTGTCCTTCTCGGGTCTTAATATTTTAGTGAGGATTATAGAAAGAATCTAGGTAGAACATTTACTTGAACCCGCTATGTAATGTATTATCATTATAAGGATTTTTATGACTTTTAGGAATCCAATATAGATATGATAATTCAAATTCATTTTGAAGCATTTCTGAAAAATAAAGGGAGCTATGTTCATACGTTGTATTACAACTTGTAGAATAAGTCCAAGGTCTTCTAAAAACAATATACATTATTTAAGAAATAAATAACAAGTTTATAAACTTTGCAATATTGAAGTCGAATACATCGTTGCACATCAAATCCTTCTCAGAAGATTTGATCACTTCCGACCCACTTCAATTCCCATTGAAGTTTATAAACTTGTTATTTATTACTTATATATACATTTGAGACAGACAATTGAATATTTTCGAATATTAAATATTGCACTAAGCGTACGTCGTAGATTTCGAAAAATGACGCAAGGTGTAAATAGGCTTGACTGGCGGTTACGCTTCGAATTCATCAGGCAAAGGATTCTATTTCGAAGGGAATATTTTGTGAAAGGCTACTTGTGATCAGTACTAGTGAAAAGATTGTTGTCTGGGAATATTTTTATTCGTGAAAATGGATAATCAATGCTGAAAAGAAACAAGAAACACGTCTGAAGATCGATGATAAAAAGTTGGAGGAATTTCGGTCGCTGGAAAGTGAGGGATGGATCCGATTTTACCGAGCCAGTTAGTCAATCTAAAATTTGATAATAACTATGTATGATAATTATGATGTAATCAAATTTACATTGATACGACAACACCGTGTTTATCAGCTGTTCGGAAAAACAAAATTACACATTTATCGTGAGTAGAATTTATTGAAAAAAATATAGTTTATCATGAAGATTTAACTTAAGGTCTACCCAAAAAAATAAGAATAAACGTTAGCGACTGTGCAGCTGACAAAAGTGACATAAAACTTGTAAACAAACTTACAAAGGCTAGATCTAGTTTCTGTCGGTATATATTCTCTATATACACAGGTTAAATCGATAATCAAAAACTGTTTGAAATACTTGTTTACATTGTAAATCATGTAAATAAAATAATTATTATTTTACTTGCTTATTTTGTTCATTTTTTTATACATGTAGAGCAAGTCATTTCATATTGATGTACAGGTAGATATTATGCTGTGATATCAGCAAAAACTCATAGTTATATTGCTATGTTTATATAATGACGTCACAAATGTATATATAAAACAATGAGACATACCAAGACAATGTTGTTACTAGTAGCTGCTTTATTAGCGAAGTCATAGTTACATTGCTAATAACATGACGTCACTGAATACCTTGATTGGTTAAAATAATTAATAAATATTCAGAAGGGAATAGTCCCAGGGAGTACATATAGCTCTGATTTTCCAGGGAGTAGTCTTCAGATGAGGGAAATAGTCTCTTCTCGGGGAAATAGACAGTTTTATGGTATTAATTTTATATAGAGTAATTACAGTAGAGACATAATTATTTTTTCTGTGAAGAATACTAACAAAATGAGGTATTTTGTGAAATATATAGAGAAAAGATACAGATAAAATATAGATAAATTATATAAAAAATATAGATAATAGATATAGCTCAAAGTCGTCTGAATAACTCAAATTTGGAGCAGAGCAATCAGACTTCCAAAATATAAGAGGTGGGATCAGATGCTCGATATCCAAGCTTTGTCGAGTTTTCTGTTTTTAAAAAGTTTGGAAGCAACGGTCGGTGTATATTAGTGGGAAATACAGGGATGAAATTTAAAATATTAGTTTGAAATATGATGGAATCATATGATGCCCCTGTTGATTTGATCAACAAGACGTGTTTTGAAATAATGATTTCCACTTTTGAATGAATAACTAATTTAAGGAGTCACAGATGTACCATGATAATATGAGGTACCACATTATTACAGCTGTATATTCTTTAATTATATCAGTAATATGATGTTATTGTCCATTCCTTAATCATTTGCTGCTATGACGTTAAGGTGAATGGTTTTACATCTTGACAGAAAGTTCAACGAACTATGTCTCCGAAGGAAGCCGTTCATGTGATTCTGCGACGTAATTGTCACTTATGCAATCCTTGACGTTATTCCATGTTTTTGTGTCTGTGCTTGAATGGAAATGAACATTTCCTTATGCACAATGTTCTGCAAAGTGTTTTGAACAGCTAAATAAATAAATAACTAATACATGTATTACCACCTTTCGTAACAACAAGCACACAATATTCAGTGTTTCATTAGTGTTGTAATTGAAAATCAATAAATGTCAAAGGTAAATCAAGAGGATGGACGGTTTGCAGAACCTACGTATTGATGTCGTGAAACAAAAATAAAAGTTAATATTTTCTATCTGGACAAACCCTTATTTCAGATACATTTCCTTCTTTAACCACACTGAAAATTTAAGTTAGTCACCATGACCTAAAAAAATAATCAGATTGATTGTCCTCCGGATGAGGGTGCAGTTAGTCAATTAGACGATGTGTTGAATTTTGACGACTCGAGAAACATCATAACTAACTCGATAGTGTACCTTGACTAATTGAAAGTCAATGAGTACACTATAGCGATTTTATTTGACTGTATTCTTGTCATAATGATAGATTCCGATATTCAAAGTGATTATCATTTCATATCAAAATGACTGTCAATTAGTTATATTTCTAGGCATTTTGACGATATTGGAAATCATGATGACGATGCGCGTCAGATCATTTTGATTATAACGCATCAATGCCCTTCAGATACAAAATATAACAATTATACGACTAAAATTTGAACTATTTATTATAAAACTTCATAAATATGGTTATTTCATGCACCAAATATACACAAATAATAAACTGATCATCTTAAAAAACATAAGATTTGCATAAAGACATTGTTAAAATTTAAAAGAGACAGACACCTTCATATATAGCATACATAGATATTTATATATTTTCAAGCAAATTAGTTTTACTGTTTGTAAATGATTTCTAATCAATCAAAGAAATAACTTCAGGAAACAGTCTCTCGTTGCACACTTTTAGTTGTTTCTTTGTTTTCCTACCTCAGAGGAATATATTTACTGGTTGTTTCTTCTTTGATCATTACAAATTCTTTTTCACAGGTCCTGCAATGAAAAATAGTCTTTATAATTTACTTAATTTACGTATTTAAGTTGCTTGAAAGCAAAAGTAAAGTATATGAAAACAAAATTTATTTATGCTGAAAGGAAATCAAGA